AGTTTCTCCAGCATTTTGATGAATTTATACGTCTACCTCTCTCTCTCTCTCTCTCTCTCTCTCTCTCTCTCTCTCTCTCTCTCTCTCTCTAATGATTTTTTTTTCTTGATCTTAATAAATTTTTATTCCATCACATCACATAAGTGTGTGAATGTACCGCCACTCACCAATAAACTCACATGACCCCACTACAAGTTCACCTCCTTCGCCATTCTTCTATTGATTTCTTTTTAATACAGTTTTAGAGCAGAAACCAACGAAGTGGAAACTGTTTATAGGAATTTGGGAGGGGGATAGAGAAGAGAGAGATGAGGGAGGGGAAGGTGGGACTTGGGATAGCTATTAACATCACCGAATAGTGTTATCAAGTTGTCTATATTACTCTATATTCTTGTTTGTTATTTGTCTTGCAGCCATGTGCCTTAATGTTAGTAATATGTAATGCAGGGAAACAGTTTAGAGGTTATACAGTAATTTCTTGAGTGTAAATTACCAATTTGAACGTCACTGCTGTTCATAATTATTTGCGTCTCCCTTATTTTATTTTCACTGCAAAAAACGAGAACAGAATAAGAATTAATTGTTTGTATAAAATGGAGGAGTAAATAGTAAAGTTATCCACTGACGCACATCATTCGGGCGTGGATGTTAGGAAGTTAATTATCAGAGCGGTGGAAACTGATACGCATATTCAAGTGTCGACACAGTACTGGTGTGAGCTGAGTAAGGGTGTCTACCTGATAAGTAACCAGCACCAAAACAATGACGAGAAAGTAAAATTGGAGTTACTGACTTAAAATGGCTCCATAGGAGCAAACCAGTCGTGTTTTAAGGATACTTTAGTCTGTTGTTGACAGCAGCACTTTTTCCCACACCAGCTTCCCGAGGAATGTTTTTATTTTTATTTTTTTTCACTCTAATAGAAAGGCTGGTACCGTCTTGGTTGGGGAAACTTGTCTTAAGTGGAAGTGTGCGTGTATTGAGTGATGGCGGGAATGGTAATAAAAACTTCACCTCGCCAGGTTGCACCATAGGCCATGTTGAGCGGCTTGGCCTCCACTGCATCTCACTTGATGTTTGTTAACCTTCCACCGTCTGAGTTCCCCGTTAGTGGTACAGTATGTGATGGATTACTATTTCACATGGCGTTGAATACTAGCCCCACTATTTTCATAAAGACCTATTTACGTGTACAGACTCCCCTTTCCTGCATAGCATACTGTAAACAGTGAGTCACCTCTAGAGATCTATGATTTATTGTTTTATTGAACTATGATGAGGGGCTCAAATATCTCCACAAGTTCTGCAACATTACACCAAGTGTGTCTCGCTGCCACTGTCTCCCGCCACCAATGACTAACTTGTTAAAAACAACACCAGAGGAAAATATCGTGGATTGTGAGAGGTCAGTTGAGAGATAATGGCCTCACCGCTCATGTGTGGAACGCTTAACATTTAGCAGACTATTACCTGGGCAACAGAGTAGCCGCTAAACAATACATGCTGAGAATATTGCCCTGCCGATGAAAACACATGTCACTATAATTAGAGCACCTTGGATAATATCGACAAGACTAGAGGATATCACGGTGGATATCATGAGAGATATACCGTGATGGTGACACAGCTCTGGGTGTGAGGTACACCAGCTAGAGTGTGTCGATGGTACAGTACGGTGAGAGACATTGCCTGGGGTGACGTCACTAATAAAATAAGCACCTGCGGCAGGAAGGGGTGAGATAAGACCCGCTGATGTAAACAGTACTCCAGGAATCGTTCAAGAACTAATTGCTAAATTTTGGAAGTGTCGGCAATACCTGACACTTTCACCGTACTTCAGATCTCTATCGCACTCTGCTCTTCCGTTTGATCAGCAATATTCTACATGTCAGGGCCAGAGCCACTCTCATGAGTTGGTCCAGTAAAGTACACCAAAACTCCTACATACCATCGTAGTAGCATCCACCAGGTGTTCCTTCGTGTCAGTGGTGACGGCACTCAACCCCATACACCTTTTTTGTGGAGATAATCCAACCACACCGCCACCACCACCTCTCCCCTTGACCTTAATATGTGGTAACATGATTGGTCAGAGGTCAGATGTCATCTACAGACTCCCAGAGTAAATTTTGGGTTAAAAATATCTTCCTGTTTTGATAGTTAAGCAAAAGTCTGTTAACTAAAGCCGTAAATTTTGTATCTTATGTATAGGTTGTCATAAATGGTCTTAGGTTAAGTTGATCCATCATCCATAAAGTTAGCAATTTTAGATGTTCTTTGATTTTAGATGAATAGATGATTTAAGTGAATTTGATTGATCATATGTGAACTTGGTCTATTTATCGTAGGTGAAGTTAGTTTATCATTGATGAAATTTGGTGACTACATGTGAGTCTGGTCATTTCAATACAGGATTTCATTATAACAATATACACGAGGCCAGAGTGATTTGTTGATAACATGTAATTGAGACTTGATTTCTTTGCCATTTTTTTTTAGATATCTCATTATTTCTCGTCTGTCTGGCCGTGTAGGCGTGTCAGTGATAGTGGTTGTATTGTAGATTTGTAGACGTCTCTCTCTCTCTCTCTGTCTAGTTATCTCTCAATCTCTTTGATCTCTTAGTTGGTATTACTGATTGCATCCCTGTTTTCTAGATACGAGACCAGTTAGAGTTACACCTCTTATCTGGTATCAATGGTGGGTTTCTAAGCATCGTAATAATTAATACCAGTAACATCATGTTGTAATAGAGGTGTAGTTTAGGATAGTGCCGGGCGTTGGGTGTGGCCGCGTTGCACATGAGTTTCCTGCTGGCCCTCGCACATCGAGCTGGGTTATACTGTGTTGAGCAATAAACATTAATAAATCTGACTCGCACTTCCACCCAGATGGACAATGTTCCGTGGCACACGTTTGGAGTATGGAGACTTTCACGACTCAACTCTATGTTTATGGTCTCCTCTGATTGCAGATTCAGATTCAAAAGGGTTATTTAGTGGTACAAGTACAAGTGTAGATGTAAGGAAAAAATCCGTCACGCTTATTTTCACGATACTGTGCATGCTTGTTAGTGCCAGAGTGATATTCATTTATGCTACGCTTCAAACTTCATAAAATCCTCAAATTATGAAGCTTTTTTTTTTCTAATCTACAAATATAATTCTGATCAGAAGCAACAGTAACATGGTGTTTACTAGGTACCAGGTGTCTTATGGGAGTCTAGTAATAAAAGTGTTAAAGAGTGTTAACCTTGTGCTTGTACATCATCATTATAACACACCTCGCTAGCTGCCGACACCCTTGATTTTTTCACTTTAAAGTCTGAGAACAGTCATTACCTTGTGGTGGTGCCTTAACCTAGATAGGACTAGAAATGTACGAGTGAGAATTATAGCTAAAACTTATTAAACTTAGTCATCACGTATAAAGTACAAGTGGTGTATAGTGACTATCATAGTGGTGACCCTTTATCCTGATGACACAAAACTACCAGATAGCAAACCTTTCAATTTATATAATAATGGTTTCCCCTCGTGTAACGAGGATGGCCTGCCCAAGGGCCACCTAGACGTGAATTTGTTTAAGGTGTAAAAGCTGTCACCAACACAACAACCACACCCTAAGTTAACGAGTTGTATGACTCACTATCAAGGAATAGTCCAAGAAGACCGGACAACTCGCTAACTGCACTGGCTAACCATTACCCCGGAATACGATCCACAAAGCGATTAACATCCAGGTTCCCAATTACTGCTGGGTAGACAGAGGCAAACGGCGTAAAGGAACTTGCCTGTAGTTTCACCCTGCCCGAGGATCGAACTCGGGTCCGCTCGCTTGCGAGGCAAGGATGCTAACCATTACACCACAGGTGGTATCGACTCCGTACTCCCCGACACTGATTCTAAATCAAGGTTTATGTCTTCTCTGTTTCGGGTATTCAGTACTGTTCACTGTGCTGACTATGACCTTACTTGTGTAGTGATCCCAGTAACCCCGGACGAGAAACAGGTCATGACCCAAAGCCCTCGGGACCTCCGAGATAGGTCATACACCACTGATTTTCAGGTCACAGTTCATGACCACGGTCACCCCAAACGTAGTTCATGACCCCAGGCAATGACGCCACTTGCATTCAGGGTCAACGGTGGAAGGGGTGTGAACCAGAAGGGCACAAGTGTGGGGGGTGTGGCACCTGAATGGGTGTGGTAGTTGTGGGGTGAGGCACCTGTGGGTCCAGGCCACTAGGATTCAGGCAACGCTGCCCGGGAGACTCGCGGGTACTAACCTTTAACATAGTCATTATATTGTATAAAATTTTATACATCTCCAGGTTGGTTCTCAGGTCTTCATGTTTCTTAAAGTAGTTCCTGACGTTAAGGTTCAAGGGTGGATTTATTTGTCCTTCCCGTAATTTAATATATCTCATACATGTAACTCGTGTCAAGGTTTGAAGACCTGCCCAGTTAAAGAAAACAGAACTATTTTTTCATCTGCTAGAAAATTATATGATGAAAGTAATTGTTGGAAAACTTGACGAACGCCGTAATAGATGAATATATCAATATATATTATTCGTATTTGTGATATAAGGTAGTCATTATAAAACTTGCTGCTACAGGTTAGTCAAACTCCGTCATAACATCGAAGCTCGTGCACACATCTCCGCACCTGGGAGAGCGAGCGGCGATAGCTTTACAGGCTAGCGGGTCGGGATCTGATGGTCAGCTTTTTGCTCCGACACAAATTGACCGACTTGTCTGTGAAATCCAGAGTATTTTAGCCGACACCTGTGCACCCGCTGTACCTCTGTGAAGGCTCCAGCCATGGTCCTGTGGCACCTGGCTTGGTAGGAAAGGCATCCAAACAAGCAGGTGGGCAGACAATGTTTTGGGCTATCTCTGTGTCGCATTTGGGAATTGCGTAGCTACTAGCAGGTCACTGGTGGATGATGTCAGTATTCTTAGTCTTGGCATTAAATATGCGTTAAGTTAGGAATTTTTAGAAGCACAGCGGATAATCTTGTGTTTTAAATGGGTTTTTTGTGTGTGTGTGTATGTATAAGCATAGATAGCAGCACAACAAAGCCTCTCTTACCCTCACTGTTTCGCCACACCTTGCAATACCTTCCATCTGACTGTGTTATCGTCTTGTTAGTGTTCCCCAGGCGGAGATGCTGCCCTGGCCCCGCCCCTGTCTCTGTATGGTGGTCCCCTACCTGACCACCTTACACTTTCTCCCCTTCCTCCCTCCCCTTGCTGCCTACGCCCTGTCTTACCTCTCCCTCCTGCCCCTCCATACTCTCCCCCTGCCTTTCCACGCTGCCCTCCACCTCTCTCCTCCTGCCCTCCACGTCTCTCTCTACCCTCCACGTACTCTCCTCTTGCCCCTCTTCATACTCTCTCTCCTGCCCTCTATTCTCTCCCCAGCTCCTCCCCACTATTAGCTCCTCACTAGCTAGCTCAAGGAGATTTCAAGACTGCTCTAGATAGTTATCCAACCTCACACCGCTACCACTGTCGGGACTTACAGTACATTACCTTTGCAGTTTACATCATACTTTGTACCTAAAGCTCTTCGTCAGTCACCCATATACATGCTGTACTATACATATTATTGATTAATACGTTACATTACAGAACATTTGTTATTCCCTGTATCTTTTGCCACTAATTCCCTCGGACTTGTTTAAATTCTTTGATAATTTTCCCGTTTTTTATATTTTACTTCATTATACAGTTTTACTCGTCTATTCTATGATTTATTTTTCTCTCAAGCATCATTACAGGTTACCATTACACATGTTAAGCGTGTATGATGCCCCCAGGCAGTGTTAGGACAGCAGGACCAAATCAGAAAGTGGGTCAGATATTTCTTATTTTATTCCTCGTCGGGTGGTCTTGCTCGTAGAGTTTATATTTTTTACTGGGTTATGTTTACGGTGCTTTTTGGTTAAGTGTATATGTCGGCCTTGAGTGACCAGACGTGATTCTTGGAGTGAAAGGAGTTCAGTAATGACGTATTTTATTTATTCTTTTCTCAAATCATTGTGTTAGCCGCTAATATATTCAAAACTCTTTCCTATTTGTACAGAAGATTGCAATAATTTAATCATAAGAACATAAAAATAGAATAAACTGCAGAGCGCCTTTTGGCCCATACTAGGCAAACCAGCTCACCTATATCGCTCATTTGTGTGGAGTTTTGTCTAATATATTTCATTGTTATAAAGTATTGCAAGGAATTAATCCTTCAGAAATATATTACTCCAAACTGCATACGTATTTTATTCATGATGCATGATTATTAAAAACTGATTTGTTACCAACTACTTACTTGGTCCACGTGATAAGAAGAGATGTTGCAGGACATTTCTAAGAACCGTTTGGATTTGTAGCCTTAAATATCTCGATAAGGCAATTTACAGTCAAACTAGTTAGGCGAACTAGGATACCCTAGTTGAGTTTTAATCAGGCGTTGAGTATGGCTAAAACAAATTATTTCAATACCTCGGCTTTTAGTACTCATAAAAGATTTCACCATCTTTTTAATATATTTTCATCAATCCACAAACTCTTGATAAATAAGTTTTCAAGTGTTAAAACATCATGTTAATGTTCACTAAAAATAAAAATACAAAGTGAGGGCGAACCAGGTGTTTATACTACATCGTGTAATGGTCGTGGTAAAGTGTATGATGGTCATACAGGGAGGGACAAAGGCCTTGGATAATTCAGTTGCATTTTAACATGTTAGTGGGTTGGGTCATACCATTAACCGGAATAATTTATCCATAATTGATTAATCACATTGTAGTTTTAGAAGAAAAGTCGTAGTCTGTTTTGATGTAAAAATAATAAAGTCTCAAGAGAACAATGGTCCTGTCCTAATCACCTCGATAGCTGTTTATAAGACCTGACTTGACATTCATTGCGGACAGCCGCCTGATCACGTCACTTGGAGTGACTTGACGCCTCTATAAAAACTCTTTGTGTAATTGAACTTGTCACACGGTCAACATATACAGTGATCTTATTCCTTCCTGTCTTTTATCTTCTACTGTAGCAACAAGATCACTTGTATATTTCGACCGTAACCTATGGTCTTCTTCAGCAGTATAACAATGACAGTTACAGGAGGTTTTATAGAGGCGTCGAGTCACACATTTTAATTCATTGATTTTCAAACCTTTATTTAAAAAGACTGTTATTAGAATAGACCAGTTTCAGGTTTATGTGTCTAAAATCTGTTGTTGTTCCTCGCTTCAGAGATGACGACGACGGAGAAGGTGCAGCGGGTGACAATGAACACTCTTAAGGTGTCTCTGGTGCTGGGCTTCCTCTACCTCTTCATCTGCTCCCTCGACTTCCTCTCATCCTCCTTCAGGCTCATTGCTGGCAAGACAACAGGTAAGTGTCATCCATTGCCCGTTTACTAAACGTTTAAATGCATATACCGTGTCAACTGTACATTACTGCAAACTGTTGGTCTATCATTGGCTAGTGAATTCTATTTATTATTTGTTTTACTACCAATAGGAATTTGTCAGTATAAAGGAACAACTTTGTATTTTTTGACTTGAGCATTTTGATGACGAACTATCTGCTAACTGGCATAACTGCTAACGATGTTTGTTTTGACGTAGAGTCGAAGAGTATTTTAGAAGCGACGGATGATTATAGATGTCTCATGTGGTACATTGTCAGCTGCTCTAATCCTGAACGATGACCTATACAATATAGCTTGACGTATTTGATTTATGGATAAGGAAAATCACTGAATTATGCTGTTGATTTTGTGATCATCGTGTGCTCTTTGTTTAGATACTGTCTTTAGTAATATTGTTGTAAACTCGTATTAGAAGTGTACAGTACAGTATGTGCGGATAAGGGGACCATGTTGTGAGCTTTCTAATGTTTGATCAAAGTAGTGGTAGTAGAAGGCACAGTACCAGAGGCGTGTGGAGCGACCACCACCAAATACGGATCAAAGTGGAGAACGGAAACAGGGCCAGGGAGAGACCATGGACTTCGTGGTGGTAATATATGTTGTGTGGTTCTAAATTCTTGCTTCTCACTCTTACCTGATACTTTTTAAGGTGTTGTGTACTTTGGACATAAATTTGAAATGGAAATCTTGAATAAAAGCGACTAACTTGCAGTCTCCAATTATTTCACTGATTAAGATTATGAATAGTTAATTCACATCCACTGGTTTAATTTATATAAACTGGTTTACCGAAGGCAAGATACATATGACTGAAGTTTACGTAGGAGTAGTGGAGGTTAAGTGTTGAGGCGGGAACATTGTTTTGATGGTCACCGCCACCTTCCGAGTACTAAAGTCAGGTTTTTCTGGGTGTCTCTAGCCTCGCTAAGGGATACAACTGGACCTCCTTTTTGAGAGGAAAATAGTTCATAATTGATCGAATAACATATATCAGCAAGTTAGAAGTACCTATATACCAGTCTGCCAGACCACAACACGAGGCAAGCCAACACAGGTGTGAACAGGCTCTCAGGAGATCATTTGAGCAGCTGTAACATCCGGTCAGTCAGGTCGACGAGGGGTTGCAGGCTGGGGCAGATACGCGGTTTATATAACCCATACCTATCTTAGGTGTGTGTGCTTGTTATGACACAACCCCACGTCACGAGCTTGAGCTGCCCGTCACTTATTAGACCTGGACGATGATAAGTGTGTTGACGAAGAGGCTGTGTCAGGAGAGAAGGGAGAGACCAAGGAGGAGGACTTTGAAAGGGGCCATAAAAAGCGTCATCGTGCAAGGTAAAAGTGAATGTCCAGCTGCAACAACTACCCTTTACTGAAATTAGACCACTGCCCGGGCATGTGTCTCTCTAGTACTGGAGCACATAAGAACATAAGAATGGAGGAAACTGCAACGGACCTATTGGCCCATACTGGGCAGTCCCATTTACACCCAACCCCTATCGCTCATATATCCATCCAACCTATGTTTGAAGCTATCCAGCGTATTCGAGTTAATGATGGTGTTTGGTAACTTGTTCCACTCGTCCACTACTCTATTTCCAAACCAATGTTTACCTATTTCGCGCCTAAATCTAAATTTTTCTAATTAAAAACCATTGTTACGAGCAGTGTCAGCTAGTCTTAAGTCTAATTAGCTGAGGAATTTATGTGTTCGCCAGGATTTTTCTTGTCTTCCTCGTGACTTGAGGAATTCAAAATTTCCTCTTTCTTGTAAGTTTAAAGTTATTTCCAAAGTAATTAAGGGATGCTTGTAATATCCAATGTTTAACTGCCCCTCCAGGAATCCTTTTATTTCTGGATTAATTATCATGTGTCGCTGGACCAAAAATTAAGAAGCGCACCCTTTATTCGATATGGCCAGTCTCTCACCAATTGTGGTAAAAGTTGTGATAATTTCCAAATGACGCCTCAAATACGTTGCCCAGGTGGGTGGAGCAGGAGGTGTTGGCGGTAGTTTGCACTGTGCCAGTTGACCCTTATTGAAGCTTTGACATTGGAGTAATATTCCGCGTCTCCTGTCACTCTACGACCCCGACCCCCACGACTCTGTTTTAATGGTAACTATGAGGTCTTATGCATAGGATTTCATGTGTCAATATTTAGTAGCCGTACTTTATATCTGATAATCTTTAGGTGCTTTTGATATTATAGAAGAGTTTAATGAAAATAGTCAACATATATTTTTTTCCTGAAACACGACAGTAGGAGCGAGTTTAGTAATGTATTTTCTTTAGTGGTTAATTAAACGTGTTCCAGGATAGTTCTGTGGACATAAAAACTTATTTGGTCGTCTTGGATATCATATTTCTACATTTGCATGTGATATTTACCATGATAATCATATTGTACTGTTGGTTTAATAACAGGACACTTCTTTTCTGTACGTTTTTCAAGTGATTTTGGCCATATTTCTCTCTCTTCACTACATCTGCGATAGTTATCACAAGACACGATAATAATGAATCAACCCAAACAGGCTCTCCCCCCGCCTCCCTCCCTCTGTATATATTTTGCTACTCAAGAATCCTGAGGTGAAACTACCACTACCGGTTTGCTTTTCCTTTGCCAGTTGCTGCTTGACTGACGGAAACTGAATCATGGTAGTGAATGGTAGGGTCATGGTGGTAGATGGTAGGGTCATGGTGGTAGATGGTAGGGTCATGGTGGTAGATGGTAGGGTCATGGTGGTAGATGGTAAGGTCATGGTGGTAGATGGTAGGGTCATGGTGGTAGATGGTAGGGTCATGGTGGTAGATGGTAGGGTCATGGTGGTAGATGGTAGGGTCATGGTGGTAGATGGTAGGGTCATGGTGGTAGATGGTAGGGTCATGGTGGTAGATGGTAAGGTCATGGTAGTGGATAGTAATCGTGGTCCTGATGGTTGTATTATGGGACGTAATGGTAAGTGTATGGTTGTCGTGGTACTCGTCTTACATTTAAAACTGGTTTATGATACACAACTGAATAATGGAAATAACATAACTAATTTAGGTCAGATGAATGATACAACTCACTTTAATAATATTTTAAGTAAACAGTTAACAGTTAAGAGAAAGTTGTAGAGATAACTGGGACGAAAGCTTGACACTCAGAAAACCGGGTCGTAGTAATGTGAGGCAAGTACGTTGACAGCCACTGCTCCACCTGTCACCGTTACTTACACGTCCAGAACCCTGTTTTTGGCAAGCTTATGCACGGCCAAATAGATTGAACGTAACATTTATGACACACTAGTGGCTGGCGCCGAGGGAGTGTCAGTTGTTGTTACACTTTCATTACTGGCGCCAAGGTTACGAGTAGGAGGAAGAAGGGGGAAGTGAGCAGGTGAAGAAGTGGCCGGCCTTCAGTATTACTCCAGTACATGCCACCATCCTTAGTGGGAAGCCATTAACCACACACTTATGGTGTACCTTAGCAATCTTACCTTTTTATGTGAGTAGCAGAGCTATTTTGAGATATGTCTTTGTCGTTTACAGTTTAAAAAATACATTAATTTCTGAGGTTTTCCACAAGAAATGCTTTTCTTGTCATAGAATCTACATAGTTATTACACACACACACCTAAATTACCATAAGGATAGTAATTAATAGTATAATAAAACACCCAGAAGAGGAAGAGGCCGAGAACACACCTAACCTAACCTCGTAATAATTGTAGGGCAAATGTTGATTTCTTCACAACACTGACTTCCTCCTCCCCTGCGCGGCGCCTCCATCTCACACTACTCGGTGCAGTACAAGTGTCGTGTTCCAACTTTAGGTCTCGTTTGGGCTTGCTCTGACCGCCTGTTCTGTGCTATAATATTACATTTCATTATACTACATTACATTTATTTACAAAGACACAAGGCTATAGATACAGTTACAGGTCCGCAACTACCAGTACAATGATTTCCAGATGATAATACAGCAGTACACAAAACCTAGGATTAATGTGTGGGTTAGATACTTTACCGTCAAAATTAGAGTTTTTTTACACGAACTGGTTACAAGTACAGTATTATCATGTTCCCTTTAGTAACTTTATTACGCGCTTGAAGACCTTAGTTGTTGAAGTACAGTAATAACATCATAACGTTAATGCTGTTCCAGGGTCGTGTGACACACGGTGTTTTGCAACCCATTTTTTTTAAGGTGATACGTATTCAGGCAACTTGAGAAAGAGGTGACAGTAGGACAGATGAAAAACTTGTTGTTTTTGGTGGTGAGGTAGAGGTGAGATGGTCAGGTGACACTCGATTGAAACTAGACGCCACTAAAGTGTTGGTAAACCTCTTTACTAGACACACCACCGCCACCACCCACCCGGTGACCTCGTCCTCAGTGACGGCTCCTCGCCACAGAGAAACGACAAAAAAAAGATATCATTATTTTCGTGAGTATCATATATTGCACGTAAGCCTAAGCCCCGCAAAACGGATCTATTGTACTTATAACCTCACCAAGTTATTCACGATACCTCCACACTATATAATTTTGGGTGGAAAAGTGGCGCTATCTTCCCTGGTATTGGTGAAGGAGTTTAACTGTCCATTTTTCAGTGATGACGAAAGGGAAGTCCTCTTGTTGCACGAGGAATAATAAAAAGTAAATTGTGGCTCTTCAGTTAACGTGATATTCGTAAAAATTGACCGGACCAACCAGTCATGATTCTTCAGTCCTTCATATGACTGAAGAAAAAAATATCGCGTGAAGATCACGTTTGTTCCATTGTCTCGCTAATTCTCGTCTTTCGCAAATAGTTAAACACAGAACTGTGGACTTTGGCACCAGGCTAGCAAACACGGCCGGTATCTGGAACAGGAAGATGCACGAAAAGGAACAATTTTATTTATCTATTATCAACTATCATAAAATTTACATGTTCCCCACAAATTGGTACCGACACGTTAGATAT